CTCAGGGGCTACTGTCGGATACCACAAGAAGGGGTACCCTAAGCAAGAACCGAAAATATTGCTTAAGCCTTGCAAAAATCAAAGCCAAAGGACAACCACGAGGTCTTGGCCAATTCTCTGATTCACCCGAGGCTTGCGCTGAGGCCTCAGACGAAAGGCCAAAGCCCTCCATCCCGCCGAGGCCCTCTCGCCGAGGCCCCGCCCTGCAAGGCCTCGGATGGGATGCCAATTCTCCGATTCGCCCAAGAGGCTGGGCTCGGCAACAACCTCGTCACCTCCACCCCGACTGGCTCCTCTGACAAAACGTCACGTCCAGATTTATGCGCCCAACTACTCCCGCAACGTTAGCCGTGCACTAGCACAGTTCGGGCAGAACGACTGACGGGATAGGGGACCGGGCGCAGCAAGGGTTACCTGCCACTGTGCTCATCACTGTACCCCCTGCTGACACCCGTACTGCCCTATGCTACCTAACCCCTGCGCCAAGGACAAAGTAGCGTGGAAGGTTAAGTCTATGTCCCTGTAGTCTCGGAAACAGCAGGAAAGACCAACTGCTCGTCCTTCGCCTCGTCTGAGACCCCCCGGTAGGGCCTCGGACGTACTTTTCCTTCTCCGCCTCGGCCGAGACCGGGCTCGTCCCGCATCCTCATCGACTCCGCCTCAACCGCTCCTCTAGCGAGCCGTCCCATCCGTGTAAGTGCGCCTGGTCACACCTACTACGACACCCACGATGGGCAGGGTACAGCAACTAGGGGCGATGGGACGGCGATCAAATCTCCTTTTTACCATCCCCTACTGATGGTGTGGGGATTACCATGCCCTATGGACGTCCGCTCCACACTTTTCCACCTGGACCAGGTACGACGCGGACCACCAAGACCCCCCCACATTCACACACACACCTCCGAGGCCCTCGGCAAGCGAGGCCTCGGTGCGACATCACCACACAACACCCGCTGGCCCTCGGCACTCCACCAAATCAAGAATCCACAAGGCACGGCATGTCTCCTGCCGTGGAGGCCATACTGACTAGACATCAACAAGGACCCCCACGACCTCAACAACCTCAAGCCTGGCTAGCACGGCGCGTCAGTCAAGTACCGATCGCCATTCCCAACACCATGCTGCTATAGGACTGAACTACAGTAGGCTCCACATGTAGCTCACTCGTGTACTCCTGGCTCCCTCCTTGCGGTTATAAAAGGAAGCAGCCAAGGATAGCTCTGGAGAGACGGAAAAACCTACGAAAAAACCATGCTCTCACACACAAACAACACTCTATAACACATGCTCTCCAAAGCTGCCTGAGAGCAACGTCTCAAGCAGCCCGCACCGTTCCACGCCGAGACCTGGGACTAGCTCTCTCTCTCACCCAGCTTGTAACCCCCTACCACAAGCACTTCTATGCAAGGAATACAAGATCAATCTCTCGGACTGGACGTAGGGCACCAATTGCCTGAACTAGTATAAACCTTGTGTCTTTTTGCATCACCATCCGGGATTAGGGGCACGCAGTTCAAATTCACTGGTTGGTTGAGGACCCCCCGGTCCGAAACACCGACAACAGGTTTGTGTGACCTTGCTTCTAAAATTGGTTAGGTGAGCTCTAGCTAGCTCGACACCTTTGTTGCCTAATTAGAACCTTTGTAAGGTGTTTATTAACTTAGATAGAGGGGTATAGTCTTAGCAAGACCGTTAGTTTTAATTCCTCATTTGTTTCGATTAGTCGGCGTATTTAATTTTAGAAAATGACTATTCACCCCCTCTAGTCCGCCATTTCGACCCTACATTGGTCCAATTTGGCCCATAACCCGGCCTACTAGGACCAGTCCGAGCCCATTCATGGTCAACGTTGACGTTGACTGACCCCACCTGTCGGTGACCCACGATGCCCTATCCAATCAGCGCGCGCCACGTGTCAAGCCCTAGAATTTTCAGCTCTTTTTTTCATAAAATGATTTAAACTTAGAAAATTCATACAAAATTTATCTGACCTCCGAAAAATATGAAACCAGTGTCCAAATTTTTCTAAAAACAATCTCTATGTCATATGCTTGTGTTTGAGTGCATTTGGATCTCTTGAATTTCTATTGTTTCTTTGTGAACATCTATAGGAGTCGCTTATCGTGGCGTTATGTCTCGTTTGGCAGATCCGGGGGAGCAGCCTAAGGAAGCGGACTACGACTACACTAAAGAGCTAGGAGATGACCTAACCATAGTGCCACATCCCACACAACCTCATAGAATCCTATTAGACATGTAATAATGTAGCTGCTAGAACTTTATTTTTATGCAATTGAACTATGATAGGTTGCATGGTAGAATTGTTTGAAGCCTTTACTTTGGCGCAACCTTTACTCCTACACACCCGCTGTTAGGATAGATGCTCGCTTTTACTTACTACTGCTTCTACTACGCATTATATCTGTGATGTGATGCTTGGTGGAGGATTGTCTATGAGTGGCTATGGCATGTAATGCTGTTAATGTGGTAACAACTTGGAGAGATCTTGGCATGCGTCTTGGGTGTGTGGTGAGGGTCGAGTCGACCGAGCAGGATTCTACGATGAATCTTTGGACAAGTCTTGCTAGGGGGATGCGACCTGGGCATTCCCTATGAAAAGGTACATGTGGCAAGTACATGTGAGATGAGAAGGTCCCGGAATGGAGTGTCTTCGTAGAATGAAGCCCTAGGATGGAGGTGCCGTCGAGGCATGGAGCATTGGTTGGCCCCATGAGAAGATGTCTTATTCGGTCATCTTAAGGACTTTTACGTTCTGGGAACCGGTTCATAGGAATTCTTGCACCCCACTCGCTCTCACGGGAGGGAGACGGATGACTGACTAGCTAGGGCAGTGCCACTACTACTAGGTTGTTAGTGGATAGTATAGGGAGGTATAGGCATGGGACCCACACCCTCCTAAGACAAACGTAGTGACCTCTAGGGACCTGGTACTATGTCTCACAGTCTCAGCATGCCGGTGGACTCCGGGATGCCCCAAGGCTAAGTGGTAGGGTGGCATCGTGCTAGCTGGAAGGCAGCCTGAAATCAACCTAGATGAGCCGTATCGTCGATGATGGTGATCTTGTGGATAGTGTAAACCTCTCAGAGTGTTTGGTTGATCGATCGATACATATGCCGTCCTTTCGGCTATGGACCTTTCCTATGTTACCGCTTCACTTGACTAGCGAGAGGTGTCCTTTCTTCTTCTTCCTCCCTGGGTTTGGTGTTAGTTTTTGGCTTTGGCCATTGAGGCAAGGCACGAGAGGGAGTCGTCTTTGCCACCTAGAGAGTGAGAGTGTGGTGAGATGTGTGTGATGGGATGGGTGAACATGTAGAAGAGATGGATTAAAACTTGACAAATTATTATAAAATTTGATTACACTCACATCGGAAAACTACAACCTAAAGTAGGTCTTTTGCTCTACACTTGCATTCCACTACCACAAAGCAAACGCAAAAGCATAGGGTGGGAGCCAGTGGCCAGTACAAATCGTACTAATAATTGATTGGCAGGTCCTGAGCCTAGGTACGACTTTCAGGGAGATGATTGGGAGGATTAGAGGTCTTGTTCTTCACTCGAGTTTGGTTCGTGAAGATGGTGTCGTTGTCCGCTGCTGTTCTATCTGATGCTGTTCCAGATATTGCGTGCTCTGAGTGATTCCGCTAAGTGGCGATGTAATAATGAGTAAACCTTGCTATTTGTACTCTCCATAAGATAGGTATTCGATGTATGACTGTGATATCGACTGTTATTCGATAATGTAATGGAATGATCATTTGGGACTATCATGTTATGGTTTGAATCTATGGATTTTCTTTCGTGGAAATCGGGATCGTTTCAAAGCCTGAGACACGCACCCTAGAGTTGCTTCTCACCCGCATCTTCCTCAACTAGGGGCGTCATTCTCTCCTCCCGGCTTCTTGCCAGGTGCTGGAGGCTTGTCCCTGCCCAGCCACCTCCACCACCGCGTCGCCTTCTCGTCTCCACCGATTTCGCCTTCACGATTGGACATGTAGCAGAGCCAAATTTTGGCCCCTTCGGCTGGCTGCGTTGCAGCAATATGCTCTATTCATCTAGGTTTTAAAGAGGCGGTTGCATCCTGTTGTAGCTGACGGATTGCAATTTTCTCCTGATTTGGAAGGACATTAATTCTGATGATTAGAAGGATTAAAGAAGTTAACAAATTTGTTAACTTGGGAACTTTTTGCAAGGCACCATAACTTCTGCAATGTTGCACTATTAGCATGAAGGAAGGAAAAACATCACCAGATCGCATAAAAGCCTTCCTCGTCTCAGGTTCACGATTTTGCCAACTCAGAAAGTGCACCTAAGCTCTGCTGTGGTCAAGTTGTGCGGCCTCGAATCACGGAGGACGGCCTTGAAATCCGTGACCTTGGTCAGCTTGGTGCGACATCAGTTGGCATGTACGGTGGCCACATGCGTCGTGTCTCGTCTGTCCTGGCAGAAGCCACTGATGCACCCTAATTGTGCGGTGCTGCTTTATCAGCGCTGCCTCGGTTCCCCGTCGCCCATCTCGTACCCCAACTTCCTTCCCCAGCCACATGCTCGTCCCTCCTCCCTGTCGGCGGCTTCTTCACTTGAAGCCCGAGACACGCACCCGGAAGCCTCCTTCTTTCCCGCATCTTCCTCGTATAGGGGCGTCGTTCTCTTATCCCGGCTTCCCGCCAGGCGCCGGAGGCATCTCCCCGTCCGGTCACCTCCACCACCATGCTGCTTTCTTGTCTCCACCCATTTTATCTTCTTGATTGGACATGTAGTAAAGATAAAATTCAGCATAAGTATTTCAGTATAAGTCAAATTTCAGCGTAAACGAAAAGGGTGTATAGGCTTTAAAGAAACGGCTGCAACCTGGTGTGGCTGACGTACTCCAATTTTCTCCTTATCCGTCGGCCTCTCCGACATATTTGCTCGCTGGTGTCGCGGTCTCCCCGGAATAGTGAAAAATTCTAAAACCCTAAACCCCTCTCCGCTGCTCATGGCGCCGCCACCACAACCAAAACAGCTGGTGCTCGCGGCATCATCTGCGGACGCGGGCGTGGCCGCCTGGGACCTCCGCACTGGCGCGGAGGACATCCGCCTCCGCCCCTGCGCCTCCGGCCCTCGGTCGCTCGCCTCGGTCGCTGACCGCTTCCTCGCCTCCGCTCAGGCTCTTCCCGCTGGCGGCAACTCCGGGATCATCCACTTCTACTACTTGGACAAGGTAAGCACGCCCTACATAAAACCCCGAACGGCGCTCTTGAACTCCGAACCATGACCCTTAGTCGTTTCTTGGTTTCGATTGCAGCCGCAAGTGGCCGTCAAGAGCTTTCCTGCTGAGCCGATCCGCGCACTTATCGCCGATCAGGAGGGGAGCTACCTCATCGGTGGTGGCAGCAATGGCAATATGTTCCTTTGGGAGGTGAGGGCATTGTGTTTTTTTTTTTTTTTTTTTTTTTTTGTGATGGGTTGAAACTGGTTGTTGGATGCTTGGTGTGCTGTCGTTTGAGGTTGATGTGGAATGTTTCCAGAGTCTTTGCTTGGTTATTAGTGAGCTCAAGGTGGTGTGAAGTGGATGCCCCTGGTGGTGACTAATCAAAATTGGACCAGGGACTTCATTTGTTTCCAGTTGTTTTGGAAAAGAATAGTTGGGGTTATTTAGTTCTGAAATGAAATATGTTTACAATAATCTTTGTTAGATTTCTTGCAGTAGAACATTTTTTTTTCCGTGGGCTTGTGTGCTGCACTGTATGGGGTGGTGAACGAATGTGTGTTTTAGGTGCTAAAATTTTGAAGGCGGTGCTTATTTTGCGTTAGTGTTCTCTTTAGCACTTAATAACCTGGCAGTTCTAGAAGCTGATTACTATGCCATAGGTTCACAATTTGTGCGTTTCACGCTAGAAGCTCACTGTGACCATTAGAAAATTATGCTGTCGGCATTTGTGCATACACCAGTTTAAAGTTCCATGATCAAATGGCACCGGGTGTCTTCTAATTTTTACTCATATGTCCATTTAGCGCCTGAAGACTTTCCGTAACGTCATGATGTGTTTTTTTTCCCTTCCATTTTTCTACTTGAGCATTGGTGTTTTACCTTTACTTAAGCAGAAACACATTGTAATCCTCAGTTTTCTCTCAAAGTTGTGTCAATATTTGACATGTTTACTCAGGTGTATTTTCACAGGTATAATATTAGGTAACTAATTATGTCTTTCCTCTGTTTGCTGGTGTCTTATGTGCCTATGAGTTTGGTTTCTGTCTTTAGTTTATGCTATATATCTGAGGGGCCGTTTGGGAGAGCTCCATGGAGCAGATTCTCGAAGAGAATCACTCCCCAGCTGCCAAACGCCAAAAAACGACCCAGCTTCTTCAGGGAATCCTAAGTGAATCACTCCTCTAGTTTGTATACAAGCGAGGGAGCTAAAAAAACCTGCTTCCCCGGATTCTCCCTAGCTCTCTGTTATATTTTGGTGGGGATCAGTAGAGAATCCTGCTCCCTCCTAGGAATCTGGTGGAATCACTCCATTGGAGAATCAAGGAGTGGAGCTCTCCCAAACGGGCCCTGATCCATCCAGCACTTTCTGGTTAAATTTGAACATTGTCTAAGCTATTTATCTGACCCATCGGATTTTATGCTGGTTTATAGGTGTCTAGTGGAGAGCTTCTCCACACATGGCATGCGCACTATCGTGCTGTTAGGTGCCTCGCGCTGTATGACTATTTGCTTGTCTCAGGATCAGAGGATGGGAGTATCAAAGTTTGGGATCTCATCACGTATGTTTGTTTTGTGTGGTAAAATTGGTCAAACTATTTTTTTATAGTGTTCATTGGGTTTGGTTGTATTGGTTGCAGGGTGCTTGATGAGCAGTCAAGGCTGGAGGCTCAGAAACCATATTTGTATAGTTTCAGTCAGCATGCACTGCCTGTAACTGATATTGCTTGTTTTCTTGGAGCAATTGCTATATCTTCTTCAGAGGATCGAACCTGCAAAGTGTGTGTGCAACTCAACTCTTGTTCTTTTTTGAATTGAATGTTTTGATATGCAGTTATTTATTTGTTCTATTTCTTATTAGCCATTCTTGTTTATATCTTAACTAGTACTAACACCAATTCCAAATGTAGGTCGTTTTAAGATCGTATCTGGTCAAACTTTATTAACTTGGATTATAAGCATGAAAAGTTATGTAGATTGACAACATATGATTGATGTTACTATATTTATCATGGAAAAATACTTCCATAATATATATTTCGCTATATAAATGGTATATTTTAACGAACATTACAAGGAAAAGTGTCATATTGGAGATTGTTTCCTAAACGACCTACATTTGGAATCGAAGGAAGTAGCATCTTGGGCTACATATTCTAATGGCATTTGTTCTTATCTGCAGATTTGGAGTTTATCCGAGGGTAGGATGCTAAGAAGCATTTCATTTCCTACTAGCATTGGTTCTGTAGCACTAGACCCAAGAAGTCATATTTTCTATGCTGGTGGTAGAGATGGAAAGATATATGTTACTGCTATGGGTGTTGATCTCAGTTTTCATGGTAGTGACGAGTCATCTATTCTGGGCACATTGGATGACCACAGGTTTGCCTGACCTAGCTTTTCGTCTTGTTCTTGAAAATTACTGCTGTGGATTATCTCTTATCATGAAATTCCCTGAGATAATTGTTCATCACTTAAAAGAGCATGACCCGCTATATTTACCCATAGGAAGTGCTTACAATATGGGCATGTTTTCAGCTCTTCAACCTTTACTTTAGACTTGACGACGACGACGACAACAACAACAACAAAGCCTTTCCCAAACAAGTTGGGGTAGGCTAGAGTTGAAACCCAGCAGAAGCAATCAAAGTTCAGGCACGTGAATAACTGTTTTCCAAGCACTCTTATCTAAGGCTAAGTCTTTGGGTATATTCCATCCTTTCAAGTCTCCTTTTATTGACTCTACCCAAGTCAACTTCAGTCTTCCTCTGCCTCTCTTCATAATACTATCCTGGCTTAGGATTCCACTACGCACCGGTGTCTCTGGAGGTCTCCGTTGGACATGTCCAAACCATCTCAACCGGTGTTGGACAAGCTTTTCTTCAATTGGTGCTACCCCTAATCTATCACGTATATCATCGTTCCGAACTCGATCCCTTCTTGTATGACCGCAAATTCAACGCAACATACGTATTTCCGCGACACTTATCTGTTGAACATGTCGTCCTTTCGTAGGCCAACATTTTGCACCATACAACATAGCAGGTCTAATCGCCGTCCTATAAAACTTGTCTTTTAGCTTCTGTGATACCCTTTTGTCACATAGGACACCAGATGCTTGGCACCATTTCATCCACCCTGCTTTGATTCTATGGCTAACATCTTCATCAATATCTCCGTCTTTCTGTAGCATTGATCCTAAATATCGAAAAGTATCCTTTTTAGGCACTACTTGACCTTCCAAACTAATATCTTTCTCCTCCCGAGTAGTAGTGCTGAAGTCACATCTCATATACTCTGTTTTAGTTCTACTGAGTCTAAAACCTTTGGACTCCAAAGTCTCCCGCTATAACTCCAGTTTCTGATTCACTCCTGTCCGACTTTCATCAACTAGCACTACATCATCCGCGAAAAGCTTACACCAAGGGATGTCCCCTTGTATGTCCCTTGTGGCCTCATCCATCACTAAGGCAAACAGATAAGGGCTCAAAGCTGACCCTTGATGTAGTCCTATCCTAATCGGGAAGTCATCCGTGTCTCCATCACTTGTTCGAACACTAGTCACAACATTGTTGTACATGTCCTTAATGAGCCCAACGTACTTCGTCGGGACTTTATATTCGTCCAAAGCCCACAACATAACATTCCTTGGTATTTTATCATAAGCCTTCTCCAAGTCAATAAAAACCATGTGTAGGTCATTCTTCTTTTCCTTATACCGCTCCATAACTTGTCTTATTAAGAAAATGGCTTCCATGGTTGATCTTCCGGGCATGAAACCAAATTGGTTCATAGTGACCCGCGTTATTGCTCTCAAGCGATGCTCGATAACTCTCTCCCATAGCTTCATAGTATGGCTCATCAACTTAATTCCCCGGTAATTAGTACAACTTTGAATATCCCCTTTATTCTTGTAGATCGGTACCAAAATACTTCTCCACTCGTCAGGCATCTTGTTCGATCGAAAAATATGGTTGAACAGCTTGGTTAGCCATACTATAGCTTTGTCCCCGAGGCATCTCCACACCTCGATAGGGATATCATCCGGTCCCATCGCCTTACCTCCTTTCATCCTTTTCAACGCCTCTCTGACCTCAGATTCTTGGATTCTCCGCACAAAGCGCCTATTGGTGTCATCAAAAGAGTCATCCAACTGAAAGGTTGTGTCCGTATTCTCACCATTGAACAATTTGTTGAAATACTCTTGCCATCGATGTCGAAATTACTTTAGACTTGAATGAATAAAAATTGAATTGCTAGGACATCCATGTTGCATCTACTCTGATTGATGGGCAGAGGAAGGAATAATGGAAATCATAGATATTTATCTAGTGACATTACATTAAAATAATAATGATAATCCACCTTGGAACTTAGTTGGCAACATGGAAATTCTTTTCTTTCTCAACACATTAGGAATGTAGCTGGGGATCGAACAGGCGACATGTACATTCTGCACAGCCTTAGGGTAACTGCATTTGCAAGGATATTATTTGCAGTGCTTCATAAAGGGGTGGTTTGGATTAGAGTTTTCACATATTTTCTTACTGGAAATTGAATACCATTTAAAGAATTATTTTATCCTGACAATAATAACTAATGATGAAATTAAATAATTAATAAATATTAATACAATTCCTTACACTTAAGTGATCCATAAATGTACAGTGTATAACACTTTAAGGGCTTGTTTAGCTCCACTCCTTGATTCTCCTGCCCCACTCCCTGATTCATTGGAACTTGGAAGTTATTCTGTCTGATAAAATTGTTTGGCAAGCTGTGACTGTGAAGTTATTCTTGAAAGAGCGGATTAAGCTGCAATTGTCCATAGTAACCCTGACTGTCTGAACTAAAGTCTGTAATACATATCATGAATAGGCATGCATTGTTTGATACATGCTGGTTAAATTTATGTGTAACCACAAATTGACTATAGAAATTCTTCACCCAATACGCTAATAACTAATTGTTGACACCACAACTTGCATGGTACAATCATCATATTTCAAAGTCCAAACCGATTAGGTCCAATAGATTACAAAGTGCGCAAAAGAGAACAAAAATAATCAGACATTTTCTTACAGGGTCCAGATGTCTAGCTTGCCCCTGTCAATCTTCCCAATTGTTTAATAAACTACGAAAGCCATTGTTGTTCATCCTATGGAAAAAGTAGTATATAACCACCAACAAATAAATGTATACCTGATTTACATGCTGGCAGAACAAATCAAAATTAACTAGGGCTCATCCTATGCTTTGATCAACAGAACATTAAACAAAGTTGTGTTGCCAGGGCCTTCGGTCTGGATGAGGGACAACCAGTGGCAGCCTCGAGGTCGGTGGTTCTGACCTAGAGGAAGACGATACTGGCCTCTATGGAGAGTTGGAGACAGCCTGTGGAAGTTGGAGCTCGAACCGCAGGGAGTGGGTGCACCTGTATAGCCAGCAAACAGGGGGGGTGCTGGGCGCAGAGCTCCCCTGTTTGGACGGCTGGCATCGGACCAGTCCTGCTGGCAGTGCTGCAGTTGCCCATGCGTGGAGAGAAAAGCTCGGACCCCTCTGAGCGGCGCTTTGGGAGAAACGGGTGCAGGATGGGGAAGTGCGGGCCTTTTATACCCGTGGCAATTGTGGATCAATGACCTTTGACTTGGTGAGGAGGTCTATAATCAGAAGGGTGGGGAGCAGGCGTGAATCTGTGGGAGCAGTTTTTTTGGCTCCGTGGTTGGTATAGAAAAATGAGGGGGAGCGATTCACTAGATTCCCCTAAGAAGCTGTGCCAAATTTTGGCGTTTGGCAGAGCTGGAGTTATTCTCATGAAGAAGCTGCTCCAAGGAGTGCTGCCAAACGCACCCTAATGAGCTTCAATCTAAAGGAATTCTCATCCTCTTTTTTTATTTGTTTCTCTGTTATTCGCTGCTTAGAAACTACAGATAGGCTGGATGATAGGCTTATTTTTTTTGGTAATTATTATTCATTGATCTGCATTGTTGTTAGCAGTGCAGGTTATTCAATGCCGTTATCTAAATAAATTTGTTTTCACTACTTTCTCTGTTTAATATAGGCTGCTTCAATGTGAAATTCCTAACATTTGTGTGGTGATATCTATTAAGTTGATTCTGGTATTTATTTTGACTGATCCAGCAAGGCAGTAACAAGCTTAGCATCAAGCAAAGATGGACTTCTACTTGTCTCTGGATCTGAGGATGGTAATGTTCGGGTGTGGGATACTAGATGTCAGCAAGTGACCCGAAAATTCAAACACTCCCAAGGTTATACTCTTATTTTATATTAAAAAGGCTATATTCGTACTGAAAACCTGCCTTGACTTTGCTGAACTTAGTGCAATATTTGAACTTAACTCTTACATTGGACACTCTTATGCGTTGAATATGTGGCTGGGTTGCGTGCCTACTCCATTGACAAGTAGAACTTTCTTCCCACCTAAGGATCACATATTTTCCTGGGACACTTAATTGGCAAAAAATGTTTCTTTTTATTTTTTTACTGTTATTAAAGGCATTATTATATACATTTCCTTATGTTAGGTGAATGGTGATAATTTACCTAGGCTGAGTTCCGTCAATCAATCCTAAATCACTCTTAGTTCTATGGGAATTCCATTTTTTAGGGAAGTTCTATGGGAAGTCTTATTATAATTGAAACATGAACTCTGGATTTCTAAAGTATGTATCCGTGAGTTTACACAGTCAACTTCCGTGACACATGGTACTTTTTTTGTTAGTAATCTTCGCCATAAGCTATCTCTCTAAAGCTGAGGCTAAGACTATTGTATGGCCATGCGTTTTTTAATATATCACAATGCACCTTTTGTATATAGTTTATGAATCATGTTCTTGTTTCCTTTTTTCCCCGAATCTGCAGTACCACTGAGCTTTGATAATGTAATTGTTTTTCAGGTCCAGTAACCAATGTTCTGATAGTAACGCCAAAACGAGTAAATCTGCCACCGCTACAACCATTACACAAAGTTTGCTCAGCAAATGGGGAGGCTGAACGGGGGACAGTAATTCTTCCTCGGCCTGAAAATGATGTTCCAATTCCTGGAAAGAAAACCTCCATTTTTATGGAGCGCTACTTGGATGAGCTTCAGGTTGGGTGATTTTGCTTTGTCTTTCATTTGGTCCCATAAGCATATTCCAACTTGTTTGGGACTTAAAGGCTTTGTTGTTGTTGTTGTTGTTGTTTTCATTTGGTGCCATACATCTTACAAGTTTCATTTCCATATTTCTTTCTGTTGCATCTTATGTTTTTTTTATATGGGGTCCAGAAGCATGGTGGTTCCTCCAGGTTATTTGATTTTGGGCTGAATGCTCAGAATGGCACTCCAAACCAACAGGGAACAGAATGGAGAGAGAGATACTTGGAGTTGCAGGATCTCTTTGTACACGAGGTCCTCCATCAGATGCCATCCTTGAGGAACCCATGATACGCATGCTATTGCCAATTAATAGTAGAGATCATTAAAAAATGGAAGAGATTTTTGTCAACACAATAACATAACCTGGAAAATCCTTTTTTTTTTTTGCATTTCATTTCAATTATTCTAGTCTCAATAGTTTATGGTAGCATAATCAAGTTAGCGCCAGAAGCATATTGCAGTTCTATGCATGCTGTGTTTTTGTTCAGCCATGGAGACATGTTTTTAACATGTTGTGTAGGATAATTTGTGGTATCAAAATAGTGATTTCAATTCAAGTGGTGGCTGTGGGGTGTAATTGAGGGTGCCTTTGGCTGGCTGCGAGGAATGTTTCAGTTTCAGATTTTCAGTAAAATCACCAGAATCGCTGCCAAAAATCACTTAACTGATTCTCAGTTTTGTACTAGTCTAGAGAAATACCAAAAACTTGGTTTCTTTTTTATTGTAGTTCAAATTTTAACAACCTAGCGAGCTAGCTAAATAATGTGATTTTGATTCTAGTTCTCAAGTGATTTGAAACTTTTCTATGAGAATATGGATTTGAAATGTTTCTACGAGAATTTGGAACCCTGCTAAAGTATAAAATGCTGAGATGTGGTAGAGTATAAACTGGAACAGTGAAATGGTGCAGAGAGTGGGCAATTATGAAGTACAATAACCTTAGGTGCTGTTTGGTTGAGGAGCAAGAGGTTACAGCGGTCCTGAGTGGAATATTCCTCAAGATTTTAGGACGAGCTTGCTCAAAAAAAAAAAATCGATCAAAAAAAAAACAAATCGAACGAGCTCGTCTCGACCGTATTTTTTACATTTTAGTCTTTTTTTAAGTTTCTTACAAATGGACTCCTAGCGGAAAGAATTTATAAAATGGACTCTTTAGCTCGACGTCATTGATGTTGGCGCTGAGCTAGGCGCCAGCGTCTTTGGCGTCGAGCTCCTGGGCACGGTGGATAGGGGCTCGGCGTCAGTCACTCTGGTGCCGAGCTCGGCGCCGTAGATCTTGGCGTCGAGCTTGGCGCCGAGCTTGGTGCAATGGGCCTGTTCGTTGGTTGGTGCTGGTTTGGGTTGGCTGGTGCTGATTTTTTTAAGAGAAAAATACTATTGGCTGGCTGGTTTAGGTTGGCCGAAGCGAACAGGCTGAAGAGCTATGGTCCGTCCGATGAGTGAGATGAGGCGGTCATGTGATGTGAATGTGACCTCTGGCAGTCAAGTCAAGCTCCAGGGCAGCCTGCAGGCAGGCAAGGACGGTCGTCCCGTGTTCAAATGCCTGTTTGCAGCGAAAACATTCAGCCTTTGTGGCAAAGGCCTACTGTAGACATCAGTTAGCAGCAAAACACGTAGTACTACTACCACTCTCAAAGTCTAATGAGACCTGTTTGCAGGTTTATTCCAGGAAAATCACAAGGACCGGTAGTTGGCACTACTCTACCGAGATAAGATAGAAGTCATTCTCGTTTTTCAAGAAGTTAATTTTTTTTATTTTGACTAATTATATATAAAATATTATAAATATTTATAATATATAATTAGTATCATTAGATAGATCGTTAATATACTTTCTTAATAAATTTATTTAGAGATATAAATTTACATGTATTTTCTACGAACTTAGTTAAAGTTAAGAAAATTTGAGCTCCGTAAAATTCTTTTTTTTTACTCTGAACCTAGTCAAAGGAGGTATGTTGGGAGAATATTGCAGGGTGTTCGGATACTAATAAAAAACAAATTACATAATTCGTCAGTACTCCACGAGACGATTTTTTAAGACTAATTAACCCATCATTAGCACATGGTTACTATAGCACAACATTGTCAAATTATGACCTAATTAGGCTTAAAAGATTCTTCTCGTAAATTAGTCGCAAACTATGCAATTAGTTTTGTAATTAGTTTATATTTAATACTCCATGCATGTGTCCAAATATTCAATGGGACAGCGACTAAAAATTTAAGAGGGGCAACCAAATACCACCTTAGTACACACGTGTGTGCCCGTTGTTCAAACTTTTTTTTTCCTTTGCTTTGTTGTTCAGTTCAAAGCAAAGCTTCTTGCTGCCGCTGCCGAGCGCCTGAGCCTGCGCTCGAAAGCAAGTGGTAAAAGAAGACAGCGAGAAGATGAAAGATCACCCAGAGTACGCGTGCAAGTACTGACGCCGCAGCGAGGACTGAGGAAGGAGACGTAAAGACGTCGTGCCATGAGATGAGAGCGCAGCGCAGCTTGCACCGTACTCGTACGCTTTTCGCTCACACGCGGCGCAGGCTTTTCCTCGCCGTTCCTGCATGCTGCATGCCGTTTTATTTGCATCAACCATCCATGTGTCATCTGCCTGACTTGACTGCCAGAGGTCACATTCACATCTTCACCTCACTCACCGGACGGACCCTAGCTTTTTTACCAGGCTAGGCGCCAGAGTCGCCGGTGTCAAACTCGACGTTAAGATCTACGGCGTCAAGCTCGACGTCAAAGTGACTGACATCGAGCCCTTATCCACCCGTGTCCAGGAGCTTGGTGCCAAACGTCAGTCCTTATCCACCGTGCCCAGGAGCTCGGCGCCAGTGCCCAGGAGCTCGGCGCCAAGCTCGACGCCAAACGCCAGTCCTTATCCACCGTGCCTAGGAGCTTTCTGAATTCTTTTCACCAAAGTTCTATTTGTGATAAACTTTCAAAAAAAAAAAGCTAAAAAGTAAAAAATTCGGTCGTCTCGAACGGTGCTAATGCCATCTTCCTCGTGGGAAATTTAAATATTTGTCATCGTTGCCACTTGCGATGACATCTCGTCCCGAACGATGGCAAAAATTCCCCTACCTAGCGAGTGGGGTTAGAGCTGGCAAGGACACACGACCAGTGGCGCGGTCTGCGGCAAGCGGGGCCGCGGCAGGGGGGGTGGTGAGCGTATGGGCATGGGCACAGGCGGGCTGCAGAGACGGGCTTGGACAAGTGAGTATGGCTGGGCGGTGGCGGGCAGGTCGAGGGCACGGCAGGGATGGGCGGTGGTAGTGTGAGCATCTGCCATGGCAGTGTCACGGACGTGACGTGGTCACGGGCCAGCACGCGGATGCGAGCGTGTCCACGATTTATTATATGATATATATGTGGGCCCCATAGTTAAAGGGCAAAAAACACATGTTTGTATGACAAGTCGCATATTTAACGGGTCATCTGCTATCTCGTCTATACCATCCCTAGACAAACATGAAAATAGAATCACTTCATTCTTAAACCATTCCGTCCTAAAAGCAAAGATGCAAACATTCCATTTTTTTACTCGTTCTCCAACCAAACACACTGAAATAATACTGTGCAGTGCGAATTATGCGACCTGCTAGCATTCGTACGCCTGGTGGAACCTCAATTGGACGATCGCAAGTCCATTAGAACACCCAAGTTAATCGATCAACTTAATCTGTGGCTCAATATTAAGAGCACACCCAAGTTAGCGGTGGATGGTTTAGGTTTGTATTAAAAAAATCATCAGCCTTCCCCGCTACACAAAATCAAGCTGGCTTGAGTGGTTTGGTTGAGGCGTTTAATAGAGCACCGGGTAGCTTCTACTATGGTTTCTTGCGCACTGTAGCAAGATGTTTCTCTTTTCCTCCTAAAATAAACTATGTTAAAGTCACTTTTTTTTTTTTGCTTTACTGCCTCTGGACACTTTTCTTCCAAAATAGACTACGCCAATGTTATAATTATATTTTTTTGCTTCACTGGCTCTAACCCTCCATGTGTAGCATCCGCCAAAGCCAAAGCCATTTGAAGCATGCCAAAGAAGGCCTAAAGCTATTTATGGTAAATTCAAGGGATCCGGAGCTCTGCATGAGCACGCTATGTGTTCCCTTGTTATTGCCTGCCAATCGCAGGACGTGATCACCGGCAACAGGAAAACAGGAGAACAAAGCCAGTCACCCTCAGCTAGCCCCTAAATCCAATCCGTACCCGTCACCTAGGTTGGATGCCGCCCCTGACCCTCAGCCTTTCCCTGGCGAACTCGCCGGAGACCGGCGCTCGCCTGTGTCGCGGCACCACCGGCGCCCCAAACTCCTGCTGCGGTTCGTCCTGGGCCCTATGTTTCGCCGGCGGCTCCTCGCCAATTGCTTCGTCGGCTGCTGATTCCTGTGCGTCCTCCACCGTGCTGCTGCTCCAGCCGAACTCCACCATGCGCTGCTGATAGCACTTCATGGCCACCACCAGCATGAACACCGCCCAGCCGCGCGCCACCGTGGACGAGACGTTCCAGACCAGGGTGAAGACGGCTGCCACCACAGCCTTCTTGTGGGAGCACGACTCCCAGGCGTCCCTCAACCTCTCTAGCCAAAACTTGCCTGCACGACAAGGAAATCATCAACCAATAAGCAGTCGAAATCAGTGCCTAGTTTGAAACGGGCCGGGGAAAAAAATATGTCCGTATATATGTCCTCCCACGTTTACGTTACTCTATTTTTTTTTTCTTAGCGGAAAACATTGCTGTACTTTTTAGAGAAATTGAGTACTAGACGAGCCATTATGGTGGCATTTTTCCCTTTCATGGATGGTCAGGTGAGGTGCCATATGTGCTTTTCGCCTTTGCACATGCTATCATGCAGCTAGATTATTAAGTCCGGACATGTGAAAGCAGTAGGGTCTAGTTTAAGTGCTAGTGCCCTGGTATCATGAAAAAGTTTATATACATGCATGGAAGGGAACCAAGCATAAAGTTCACTGCATCATTTCTTTTACTGAACTTGTCCTCTTTCTACAATCATCAGTAACACCGATAATATGGCACAAGAATGTAAGCAGTACTTCTAAGCTACATTATCATCAACTTTTAAACAACTTTGATGGGAAAAGAGGGAATCCTTTGAAACACAAGAATTTCAAAGGATTCGGTTCAATATATAGAAGTGGGATTTGTGAAAAAAAAAACAAGTTAAGTCTTTGGACAGTGACGAGCCATCTACCATCTTCACTCACTGACGCGATTGATGACTCTGATAGATGACTAGTGGCGGACTTAACGGAATTCTTTGTCACAATCAGCTTCGTTCTTAATCACATGTTGATGCTTCCACTTTATTATGGCTGATCTAATTAGTAAGGATGACTCAAGGTTTTCCTCAAAATTATCGCTCAAATTAAAGGGCATCGCCAGACGCTAAATAAAGAATCGAAGTGGGCAAGTGGCAGACATGGTAGCCCAACAACATCACACGGGAACGGGGAAACATCTATAATCCGGTGTGGACATGTGGTTGTTGAGATGGCAGGCAACAAGTATGTCACGCACGACTCACGAGCCTAATTGTTGTTTATATCTTTTTGTGGACCAAATGCTGATTGTTGGTGAGCAAACACCAAAACAGATGACCCTACAAACAGAGGGGACAGCTAGCAAGGATGGGAGACCAGATCTAGGATGTGAAATGACTAGTAGTGTGTTTCCAGGAGACTGCGCTACAACTTCAAAAGGGCAAAGCTAGGAAGGATCAGTACTGGCAGTAAATATCATGCCTTGTGGGTGAAAGAATCCTCCCGTTCTCGGATTACCCAGAAACTGGCTTGTTTTTCCAGTCGGAACAGTGTTTTTCTCTCACAACAATTCAGTCAGAACAGTGTTTTTCAGTCAGTTTCAGCCAAGTTTCAGCAAGCCGAACGGGTAGATAATAACAGTTCATACGACTAAAATATTCCTTACCAACAGAGTAGTGCATAACAAAAACTACCCTTAAGCAATAAAAAATATTATTGTTTGCTACTCCTCTCTCTCCCTGGCTGGAAGGGTGGAAGAGTTTTTATTTATCTTTGAGGGAACCTACACTACTGTTCACGTGGGTCTTATGTATATGAACTTATATGGACTAAGTCCATATATATTGTAGTTGCCCTTAGTGATGCGAGTGTCTGATTAAATGAGTTAAATTTTCTTAGCTACTCCTAACCAACCAAGAAGATTGTAATCAATCAATCTTAAATTTAATCATAGGTCATGATCACATTTTATGCCATAAGTTTGTGTTTAAAGCTGGTTAAGGCCATCAAAGAGCTAGAAGACAAGTTCAGGAGCAGGCTCACTATGCTAAACAAAGATGGCACATTACTGATGGTACCATTGGAGAAAAAAAAAGTCTTCAACATCAGCTTCTATGTATTCCCCCAAGATTGACTAGGTGGATGCACCCACACCTGTTTTACATGTAGCTAATATTGTGCTATCCACATAAGGCATTGTTTGATGCACGTGTATCTATTTTAATCCACATGTGTTGGGGTGGATTAGAATGGAATTTAGTTTAATTCCACTTCAAGACACTTGGATTGAGATGAATACATGCGCATCCAAATAAGGTCAAAAGTAATTTTAAAACTAACCTAACATGGTTTGGCTACTAAACTAATCCAAAGAGTAAACAAGGTTTGTAGTCCATGACACCAGCGATGAGATGAGAATGAAAGTAATACTACTGTAGTCGTTTGGAAAGATTCTCTTACTTTTTTGCCCCCATTGAACGAAAGAATACGAAAAGGAAAGGACACAAGGAGGTGTGGGCTCACTAGGGACAGCATCCATCAGTTTCAGACCGTTCGAGCAGCGTAAAATGACAATCAACCTCTCCTTACCAGTCGAAAAACGCTCGCATGTGCGAAAGGTAGGAGGAATAACCGTGCACGCTCCCCCCTACTACGGGAAGTTACTTGGGCTACTATAACTTTTGCTTTGCCTCGAATCCGAATAAGTGATCATTTACTCTTACCAACAACACGCCTACACTGTCACTTCTACTAGTTTATTAGCTAACCTAGGTTGAAGAATGCAAACAAGTAGTGATTCTCTTTGGAGATGGTAAACATTAAAGTGTAGCTCCAAAATCATTCTTCGTTTATACATCGTCTTGTTGTCTGCATGAGGATAAGGCCTGGTTTGGATACTAAGCATTTTTGGAGTTTCAGAAAAAACCATAATTTTATGAAATACTTTGTTTTTAAAGTGCCATAAAGTGTTTGGGTGCAATAAACTTTATGGTATTGCTGAAACAGTAGTCTTTTTGAAGTTTTAAAAACTCTACTCTAGACTCTCTTTTTTAAAACCACGGTTTCACACATCAATGGTTTTAAAACCACAGTTTTTTGATACTATGATTTCTTAATACTACAATATCCAAACAGGGCCAATATTCTAGTGTACTAACAATAAAATTTTATCTTGATCTTCTGTTTCCTGCCCTAGTTTGATTGCATATGACAACTCTCTTGAATCTTGTGTCAAATTAAAATCCATACTATGTGGCAGAAGTTGAGAGCTTTATCACTTACTACCTTCGCCCTCAAAAGAATGCAATTCTCGTATTTCGAGGAGTCAAACAATTTAGACTTTGACTTAAGTTATATAAAAAATTACTAAGATTCTTGATACCTTTGATCAAACTAGTGAATATATTTTAAAATAAATTTATTCGGAGAGATAAATATTTATATTATTTATTGTAACCTTTGATCAAACTCGAGTTAATTTCGTCGGCACGGATCCTATAATTTCATTGTTTCATGGACAAAGGAGTACTTACCGTATCGTGCCAACTGCGTGGAGTAAGAGGAGCACACCTTCGGGATGATGAAGACCCCAAAGAACACTGCAAACGCAGCCAGAACAAAGGCACGAAAAGTCAGTGACTGCAGTACTTCTCCCTGTACCTTTATCTGTACATGTAAAGTTGCTCACGCTCCTGGTCCCAACATACATTTCCTATGGTTAAAGCTAAAGTTACTGCATCATGACTGTAACAAAACTCTTCCTGAAAGGCTAAAAATACCCGTCCCATGGCTTGGCTCTGAGTTCGGATCTTTCGGTTTCTTGTTGAAATGCATGTATTATCAGATGTAGGAGGTACTACTACTTACCCAGTTTAGCCAGTGTCCAGAGGGTGACAAAATTGCCACACCGGGCCATCGCAAACAGTAGCAGTGCCAGCTGCAGACCAGAGCACATGTGTCTACTTGTCAGTACAAATCCAGAGATGCGCGTCGTCTATGCATTGCAGGCATCTATGCCAGATACTACCAGATAGTACAGTGTTTTCTTCTTCTTTTTGCCTAATATTCACATGAACACACAGCACTTTTCTCTGTTTGTACCTACCTTCATGGTGGTCGCAGGCTCACCGGAGAAGAGAGACCTCAGATTCAGGAGCACCTCATTGATGTATGGCAGCACCAGCCTCAGCAGCCAGATGGCCTCCTCCTCCCCAACCAGGTAGCACCTCTCGCCAATGCCTTCATCGTCACACTCCACATTTTCACCCCTGCATTTTTACCCAGCAGTGAAAAGTTACCATGGTTAATGACACAACAAGCGATTTACTTTGAATTTGCTTGCGCGTGATTATGCTGGTCCTCTGAGGAGATTAGCCTTTTACCTGTTCAGTATGGACTTCCGCAAGAACCGTAGACCAAGGTAGATTAGGCCTGCATATGACGCTGCCGTGATTGTGCTGCAGAATGCACAAAGTTTGGCGGGGAAGGTTAGGTAATTGCTGTCAGTTTTGTTACTGTCAACGCTTTTAGATTCTGGTAGCTTCAGAGTTACAGGTGCAGCAAATGTTGAACAGCGAGTTACTTGAAATTTAGGTCTTTGGCGTAGGAGGAAGAGATGAGCAAGAAAGTCCCTAATCCAAACACCAGTGCAGACTTTGACACATCTCTCCACATCACCAAATTCACTGGGAAACCAAGGGGCAGAAAGGAAATGGAACAAGAGCCATCAGACCCTGACTGATTCTTGAACTAGCATATCAGATTCTTTGTGTTGTTGGGAACAAAAGCATATCGATTGGTGTCATGGAGGCTGGCATTACCAATATTCTGCATTCTTGCTTGACTTCTGCTGGGTTGAGATGGTCTTCCTTGAATCTCCTCATACTCTTCAACTTCAAACCAAGACAATTAATCGAAAAAATAATAAAACTTGACGACAAACAGGTAAATGCTATTCACCAGGAGGACTGCTGGCAGGCTCTGTCTTCGGAATCCTGCGGCCAACCGCCGGCAAAGCTTTCTTCTCTGGATATATACATAAGTAATATAAATAGATTGCATAACTGGAGAGCCCACAAACTAGGTGATGCTAAAATTACATCTAGGCTGACTTTTCAGAATCAAAGTTACCTGGAGAAGCAGGTTTTGCCGGCTCGAAGTTGGTCATGCGGTGAACGACTATCGGTGTCGCCTTCTTCTCGACTGCATTCCGGGTGGATCGGAGCAGCGAGTGATGTGAGACAGAGATTGAACTGAATTAGCGTGAGTTTTGCATTTGGTGGAATAGAAATTCACCTGGTGGAGGGGTCATGGGTTCCGGGTTGATTGCTCGGAGATCGACCGCCGAGGCTAATTTCTTCCCTGGACCATCCACGAATAGAAAATTAAGACCGTATTCGCGGGTCGTTCATATATGGATCGAATCCATCGCAGCCAAAAACGCAAAAAAGGGCGAAGTGATCGAAGGACTAAAATTCACCTGGAGGCGGTTTCACCGGCTCTGAGTTGGTCGCTCTCTCTTCTTCTACCGACGGCGTGGGCTTAATACCTGCTACATTCGCGGTGATGCAGTTGGGAGGCAAGAACACAACAGTCAGGAAATGAAAAGAAAAGCAAAGAAAATGTGGAGGAGAAAATAGGGACAAAATTGGCAGAGGCACCTTTTGTCGGTGGCTCAAGATCTTGCTCATCGTCGTCCTCCACTGCAATACGGCAGCAATTGAAGAGCACAGTGACATTATTAGTGAGTTCATCGACAAGTGAATCTGGCAAAGATACTACGACAGTGGGGGAAGTAACTAAGGCTTCTTGCCTTGGTCCAGAGCAGTTTGTTCGTCGTCAATGGCCATGTGATCCTGATCCAGCATCTCCTTCTCCTCCTCTGTCTCCAACTCATCGTCCAATAATTCATCCTCCTCCTCGTCGTCGTCCAACTCCTCATCTGGTTGTTGCACCACGTTCTTGGCGTCTGCCGCCGCGGCCTTGTGCACTTCCACGACCACCACCTCCTTGACCTCGCCGGTGGCCGCCGCGGGTGCCACCTTCTTCTCGGGCGTGGATACCCGCGCCACGGCCCGCCTGGCAACCACCGCAGTGGTGGTGGTGGCCGTCGTCACGGAGGCGGCTGCGGCGGCAGCGTCGGAGCGTGATTTGCGGAGGTCCCCGATCGCGGTGACCGGCTCAGAAGCCTTCCAGCTGCGCCTCTTCTTGGCGGCCGCGGCGGTGGCGGCTGCCGCGGCACCGGCGCCGTTGCCCTCGCTCTGGTTGCGGCGCAGGCGGCGGTAGACCCGCATGCCCTCCTCGTCCGCTGGCTCGTCGGCGGCGCCGGCGCTGAAGACCTTGACGCCGCCCTTGACCTCGTCCATCTTCATCCGCGCCTCCCACACCGACGACGCCGATGTGGCGCCGGCGGCGCTCCTGGTGGACTGCACCGACACGCGCCTCCGTCCACCAGTGGCGGTACTGGAAACCGTGCCCCCCGTCTGCATTGCTTTATGCCTTGGCCTTGCTGCTGGGCGCCGTGGTTGTGCTCTGCGCTTGGTTGCTTGCGCTTGGAGGCTCCTGGTCCGGGTGCTCCTTCCCTTCTGGTGGCGCTGCGGGCTGTCCCCTCCTGAAATTCCTTCCCTGCTCTGCCTTCTGCTGCACTCAATCTCGGAGTTGGGGCGAGAGTGAGTGAGTGGGAGAGCAGGGTGCCGCAGGCTTTACCGTTGTGAATCCGAGGGGGTCCTTTACACTTTATTTTCTCTTTGCGGAGGTGGAGGTGGAGGTGGAGGAGGAGGGTGGGGATGGAGGGGAAGGAGGGACCGAGGGAGGACCGGAGGATAGGTAAGCTTTGGGCGCTTTTGGTTTGGTGGATCGGCGCGCAGAGCTGAGCGCAGGCTCCTTCTCTGATCTGATCTGATCTGATCTGATCTGGACTCTGGACGTCCGGTGCTGGGGTGGTACCTGGCACAGCGACTCGGGGCAGGTGTCGCTTCGGGATCTTTGGCTGGCCTCCCTTGGTATGTCGTCTCCTCCGGCCTTGCCGCCTCCCTTCGCCTCCCGGACCTTGGTATGTCAGGACTCGGGAGAGGGGAGAGAGAAACAGTCACGCGCTATTGGCGGTGGCTGCGTTTGTTTAGAGCAAGTATTATAAGCGGCGAAGAGCTGGCGAAATCCGACGAGAGAGAGAAAGCAGGAGAGAGAAGAAAGCGGGCGACTCGTGAGACGTCGGCAAAAAGCGGGCGAAATGCACTGTGGCTGTCGCTCCCCCACTCTAGTTCTTCCACGTCGCAGCGAAACATTAAAGATCGGTGGGGTCCGCGCACCACTGCTCATGAGCTGAGCTTCCTGCAGCCGGCGAGCGGGCGTATCCATTAGCCTTGCTCCGTGCGCTGCTTTCTAGTTCCAGCGTCCTGCCTTGAGTCTCGGCGTGTGGTGTGACACCAGTCACGCCGCGGCTGGGAGCGCAGCGGAGATGCCCCTGTGCGCGCCTTTCCGGACTCTGGCAGCCATGAGCCAGCAGCCAGCGGCCTAGCAATCAGGCACCCAGTAGCCTTCCATCAGCCGCTGCGGCTGCAGATGCAGGCAGGGATTGCGGCCGTCAGTCAGTTGGGGCAGGTATGTCGTGCGTGCCGAACTGCCGATGCACTCGCCCAGCAGCTATGGTTGGATGTGGATGTTAAAACATCTTAAGGATGGGTATTCGTTTTAGTGTCAATATTGATATCCATATCTGTATTCGATTTTAATAAAGATACTATGGGTGGATGTATCTGTATTCGTTTTCTATCATTTCTTTCTATCTGCGTGCTCGAATTTTTTTTAGAATATGCAATATTATTTGTATCCACAAGTAACAAAGTAGCTTGTAGAACCATCTAAAATTTAAATCTATGATTGATTAAATATTAACAATGTAAATGATATTAATTTTAATATAGCAAATGATATGCATCATTTAAACTATTTAAAACTTATCTATGTTGCTAATAACATCATATATGTTATTATTATTATTATTATTATTATTATTATTATTATTATTATTATTATTATTAACCGCATATAAAGGTTAGTTTTAATATGGCGGTATTCGTTTTAGTGTCAATATAGATATCCATATCTATATTCGATTTTAATAAAGATACTATGTGTGGATGTATCTGTATTCTTTTTCTATAATTTCTTTCTATCCGTGTTCTTGAAAAAAATTTAGAATATGCAATATTATTTGTATCCACAAATAACAAAGTAGCTTGTAGAACCATCTAAAATTTAAGTCTATGATTGATTAAATATTAACAATGTAAATGATATCAATTTAATATAGCAAATGATATGCATCATTTAAACTGTTTAAAACTTATCTATGTTGCTAATAACATTATATATTATTATTATTATTATTATTATTATTATTATTATTATTATTATTATTATTATTGTGAGCTTATTATTCTAATTATTAACCGCATATAAAGGTTAGTTTTAATATGGCTAATCATATTAATTTTAAGGCCTCCTTTGAAACACATGATTCTCAAAACACATGAATAGGAAAACACACAGGATTAGAGTTGCACGAAACTTGCAATCCTATAGGAATTTATAATGCAGGAATTTTTTTAATGTAGCCTTTGGATAGAACACAAGAAAAATATAGGAACAAGAAGAAAGAGATAGACAAATAAAATTTTCCATGAGGTCCATCCTTACGTTAGTTTCCTCCAAAATTTCTATGTTTTCATGCATCCTATGGCAATCCTAAGGAATTTCATACCAATCCTTTGTTCCAAAGAGGTGTATAGAAAACTTTCCTATAGGATTTAAATCCTCTAAAATTCTTATGTTCCAAAGGAGACCTAAGGACTTTTGTAATTCATTCATGTATTGACGAAATTATTTTATATATTTAAAACTATTTAGTGATAAATATTATTTATAGTTTAATTGATTTTGGATATATTTAATTATTGAAATATTTATTATATGTTATTTTTATGATTTTTTTGTCATCCACAGATGTTATACATTATATGGGGATTAGGGAATTGCCTCGCACTCATGACTCGCTCACTCGCACTAGAGCATACTTTATTACATATTTATATATTATAGTAAATATGTCCGTGCGTTGCAACAGAACATACGCCTTGATGCGTGATCGCTTGAAGACTTGTGGCTCGACGATTTACATAAGGATCGTGTTCTAATATGTATTGGATTCAGATTTCATACCATCATTGGACACACAAATGCAAGTGGTTGTTACTCATATGATGAGCATGTGCCATAAGTCCAGCTCTTAGACGAGATCCTAAGTGAGATATACAAGGGTCTTGTGGAAAGTAAAAAGAACGTATGAAACAATCTCTTCTGCCGTGTAGCACCCACCGCGCCCTCCCACTCCCGCCGTGTAGCGCCCGCGCCGGCCGCGCCACGACCGCCGGCGCGTCACGACCACCGGCCGCCCACTCATATCAAGGTAGCTCCCTCTCGATTTCATGTTATTATGATTGTTATTGATTTAGGATAGTTAGGTTAGTGATTTAGGATAGTTAGTGATTTAGGATAGTTAGGGTTTTATGATTGTTATTGATTTAGGATAGTTAGTGATTTAGTATAGTTAGAATAGTTAGTGATTTAGTATAGTTAGTGTCGGGTTTATAAACCCGGGGTCCCTCACGGACCGGCTTCCCAACAGAGGATCGGCCTAGCAGGCAACGTTGTAAACAACGTGTAACTCATGGGCTAGCCCAAGTACCTAAACGACAGGCCAGAAGGACGATCCAATCACCGACCGAAAGGCCTGGCCGAGGAGGAACGGCGCCCATTTCTGACTCTGGCCCACCTCTCCGATCGGAGCGCTCGCTTCGGTCTCCAGCCCGCCTCCGGACGGCCTTTCCGATAGGAAGGCCTGGCCAAAGCACTACTTCTGACTCTGACCCGTGTCTCCGACTGGGTATGCACCAAACCCCTGCTCACTGCTCTTCTCCAACTGGCGCATTCAGAGCCGACTGGGACTAACCGACCGGGGATGCCCGCTCGGTAAGGACCAGGGAACGAACGGAGAAAAGTAAGGCAGGGCGCACATGTCAAACTATAATACCGGGGACCATACTTTGTACACCTGCAGAAACAGTACTCTACGACCTCCCTGGCACGACATAACCCAAGCAGTGTTGTAGGCGCCAACTTTTTCCCCTACAGTATTGTGGGCGCCATTAACTCCCATACGGTAAGGCTCCCCCACATGCCTCTGGGCATCGACTGTGTTGTGGGCGCTGGCATTTATCGTACCAGGCGAACATGGTAAAACCCCTTGCATGCCTCTAGGTATCAACAGTGTAGCAGGTGCCGACATCTGCCATACCCAAAGAAGACAACACAACCTCCCACGTGCATCTGACATTCAACAGTATTGTGGGCGCCTACCATCGTCCTGTACCCGCCGGCATGGGCAACAAGGCTTAGTAGCATACGTACTCTCTCCCTCTCACTTGTAAGGCCATCCCCTTCATCTATAAAAGGGGATGCGCTCTCTCCCAACAAATAAGTTCATTAGATCGATCAAGTTCTCTAGTACACAACAGCAGAACCACTAGATTCAAACCACGAGCACACGCTCGTACACTTAGCTTATAGCGGAGTTCCCGTCGCTCTTGGCCCTTCCGACCGGAGTCCGACCCGACCTCTTGTACCCCCATCTTTCTCCTTCTCGTTTGTAACCCCACTACAAACTTCGAGCACCTAGGCTCAGGAATAAAGTCACCGACCGACTCAAACTAGACGTAGGGCACGTTGCCTGAACCAGTATAAATCTTGTGTCATTGAGTGCTAGGCCACCTCCGATCACAATGTACGACAAAACTACAAATATTTACGTGTTGGTCACTTTCTGCACCGACAGTTGGCGCCGTCCGTGGGGAGGACGCTGTACGTTCAACACTTTTTGGTCATCGGATGACCCACTTTTCCGCCACCTTCGCCATGGCGGGCTTAGGCGATACAACTCGTTTCAGTTCATTGGAGTTTCCCACACTCCCACCTATTGGGATGTGGGTTCCACCCATCTCTAAGCCATCCCAGGCCTTCCTCTTTGGAAGCCTGGACTTCATCGCCGACCGGCTTGGTGTACTACACCTCCGTGAGGAGGCACTCATTCTGGCACCCGTCAGAGGGGCACCCCCCATTGGCTCCAGGACGTACGACGACTTCAATGACGAGGCATTTACGCTTCATTCCTAGCAAACTCTCTACTCAAACCCCGCTGTGAGTAATGTACATGCTGTTATTTACTTGCTATTCTCTATCTTTCGTCGATTATCCGAAGGGACCCCATTGTCCCCGCCGCAACCACCATGCGACCGGTTCCCCTATGGCCTCGCGTCTCCCACGGACGCGATATGCCTAGGGGCTCCGAAGGATGCCGGCACTGCCCCCTGTCACGTTCGAATTCATGGGGATGGCGAGCTATGCTCCCACCTATTTCCTTGACCTCATGGAT